ACTCTAACCTACGAGCCAAATCCTCATCGGATCCTAAGTTGCTGCTAAAAGAGGACGACATGGCAACTACGTTGGAAAGAGAAAGTGAGGGAAGAGACCGACCTACCAAGGGTTCGAGCTACCTTCAGATCGAACTCCAAGAATTCAGGGAACGTAAGGTATGACCTGAAGGATTGRGSGTATTTATAGCTYGTCRGAAAAATTTCCCCACCGTACACGTGTCATCAACGAGCGGCTAGGATCCTCCCTAAGATCCGAAACGTCGGAATATCTGAATATTCCGACGATAAATCTACCGCAACGGTCATATTTTCCACGAATAGGAAATCGCCACGCGTCCAAAGCAAGTCGAATGAACTTCTCTGCCAGGTCGAGATCRGACCAGACAGAGAGGGGGCCAATGTTTGGGGGAAGAATACCCTGGACACGTGGAGGACTCCTATTGGTTCTCCAAGACGACTTATGAGTCATGCCCAGCTCGGACTGCCGAGATCACCGCCGTTAGCGTTGATGGACGCTAAGTGTGAGGGCCGAGGTGAACCTGGCCAAGATCCGACCTACCGGGAAGCTCGGTAGGGGCCGATGTGAGCTGCTGTCAGCGACGTGATTATCGGGTGTAACCGAGGGTCCCGAGATTACCGGGTGTAACCGATGGTCCCGAGATTACTGGGTGTAACCGTCGCGAGATTGGCGGGACTACCACCCATAAGTAGAGGACCTCACTCCACGATCAGGTACGATGATTTCTGACCTCGAACTAAACTAAGAATCCGACCTGTACTGACTTGATCGTCGGAGTGCTCACCTTTTTGTGCAGGTCCGCCACAGGTATTCAGATCGGTCCGGGTTCCGAGTTCGAGCTGCAGTCGGAAATATACTGTTGTGCATATCCTTGCATAAACAGAGTCAATGTTGATTTTGTTAGAAGAGAAAATTAAAAAATTGTCAAATGCCTTATTATAAGTAGATACATCTACAATAAATTTTATTAAATATAAAAGTAATTAGGATTATTTCATTTCCAGCCAATTTTGTACTAAAAAACCAATTGAATCTCAATACTTGACATCGAAAAATGTAATTGATATTTTATTAATTAACACAAGTTTAGCGATATATGCGGTTACAAATCATAGTAGCTAATTATCGCCTAGCGCCATTTTATCGTATCACGAGACGAGGGGAACGGGATACGCCGAGGGCGGGAATTTGAAATGTAAAGACCAACTAAAGAAAAAAGAGCGCGCATTTCAAACGTCACCGTTCCGCCACCTAAAATGATTACCCGCGCTTCCATTTCCGCTGAAAATGAATCTATGCCGTCCACGTGTAGCCGCCCTTTAATCTCCTTCAAAACAGTGTTGCAGAAATCCCAGTTCTCATAAATTTCGCTCTGTTCTGCAGTTTTTGTTAGAACTTCTTCCATTTCTCCACCGTCTCTGCTTCCATTTCCTCTCTCTTGATAGCTCGAAGCAAAGCAAGGATGGAGGAATCTTCGAGCAATGGCCGTGCTAACTCTAACACTACCAGATTCTTGAACCCCTGGGTTCTCCATTTCCAGAAAATGGGTCTCGAGCTCAAGTGTCCTCTGTGGTTTGTTTTCGTTTCTCTCATTTTTCCTTCTAACTGCTATTGTCTGCTTCTTATCAGGCTAAGATTTGATTTCATGTCGTCTATTGCATGTAATAACAGCTTAAACTTCCTCGACGAACCAGTGCTGCTTCCTTGCAATCACCTTTTCTGCAAGTGCGTATCATATTCGCTCATTTCCATTTCTTTCTTGTTTGCTTGATTGTGAAGATCGACATATTTTTGACTCCTGTTGCAGGGCTTGCATGCCGTTCGCAGCGCAGATTGGATCAGTATGCCCTCTCTGCAAAGAAGGATTTGTCGACCTAGGTAGTGTTTCATCTAATCGTAGGCTTCTTATGGTCTTTTTGGATGGAATTTCTTTTTATATTCGCAATTCCTTTGGTATTCGTTTCTTGATGCGTGTTGAATTGTACTTTGATTTCCGTCCGATCTAATGGCGTTCTAAAGCAGCTAGGTCATGAATTATTCGTGGTTTCCTATCCGCGAAGACAACCATTTCATCTCGACTTTTCTCAATAACTGATATTTGTAAACAAAATGACTAATTTAGGCACGTCTCTTTATTTAAATATTTCATTTCTTGAATGATAAGAATATGGGACAGTTGTTGGATTTTGTTTTATTTAGAGGCTGCCTGTTTATTTATTTACTTATTTTGCTGATGTACCCTGTGAAATATGACAACTGATATTCGTGATGCATTTGTCTTATTATCCACTCTGCAGACATGAGGCCTGCACCTTTCATGGACAAGATGGTAGCAATCTACAGGAGTCTGGATGCTACATTCTCTGCAAACATCTCTAAACTAATCTCATCTGGTACAAATTACTGAAATTTCTCCTTTTTGTTGAAAAAAAGGAAGAGAATCAAAACTGAAATAAATAAATAACAATTCTGAAGACAAGGAAGGTACAATAAATGGCAAAGAAACTTTTTTTTTTTTTTTTTAGTCTCACTTTTTATTAACATCACAGTTCACATATTCGAAATGGACTAACAATTTCAGGAAAAATAGGAACGATTTATTGACTTAGAATAAAGCAAGATCAGTTGCAACTTGGAAGTAAAATTTTAACAGGCTTATATTCTTTTTTTTATTTCGTTATTGTTTCACTCTTCATCTGATGCTTGGGTTTGAAGATCATGCATCTTTTAAACTGTTCTAAGAGTCTAATTAACTACCCTAGGTGCTGGGGTGGCTGTGGAGCAATCACGTTTTGATCAGTCTCTCCCATATAATGCAAGCAAGTGCAAGGAGTTCGAGGGGTGCAGCATGCCTGCTGATTGCAAAGGTGAAAATATTGACATTGAGGGCAGAAAAGGTAGTTATGTGAGGCATGAAGATTGTAGAATGCTAGACCAGTTATCAGCAGGAAGCCCACCTCCATTTGGTGATGGCAAGGTGTCAGATGACAGTAGTGATGAGTACCGTGGTCATGTGAGATTAATACTCTCCCCATTTCTGCCTCCCCCTCTTTTTTTCTCTATTTGTCAATTTTCAATTGCCATTGCTACAAATAAAAGAACTCCATACAAGCATCTATTATCATTATAAGCTGTGAACTATATTTAGATCTGAAGTGAGGTGTTTTTTTTTTTTTTTACATGTAGTGCTAGTTGCATTTTCATCATGTAGATACACCATGGCATTGAAATGCCTTTATATTGTTTGAACTGTTAGTGATCCCTCACTATAGCTTCTTCCATTGATACTGGTAACTAACTTGTAGCACTTACTGGTTAGTGTGATGGAAACTCTGTGATTTGCAAAGTAAACCAGCGTCATTCTGGTCAAATGTTCCTGTGGATTAAGAACGAACTAATCTTTATGCACATATATATATAGCTCTGGTTGTTATTGGTATATGTGATTAAAATTACTGGCTATTGTTTTTGGGTTATTGTGCCATTACCCTCATCTTTGTAATAAGTATTATCCTGGGCTTTACATGTGCTCTATTCTTTAGGGCTCTAAAAATGCTTCAGACAGCAGATCTACTATAAAAAGTGTTGATGGTAATAAGCTGCAATTGTTGAAGTGTACAAGTTCTGCTTCTGAAGAGGAAGGTCACTTGAGGGACCTCAAGAGACAAAAGAAATTGGATTATGATCAGTCACAATTGGGCTTTAGTGGTACCAATGGAAACCAGCCTCCAGTTTCCGAGTTCGGAAATTCAGAGACTTCAAATTCTGAAATGAATCACAAATCTCAAGTTACTATTGCTAGCAACATGCCTCTTGCTGATGCAGATAGTGCCATTGTGAGAAATGTCAAATGTGCATTTTGCCAGACCTCTAAAGTTACAGAGGTATTATAGAACTTCATGTAATTGTTGTCATTTCTGATCCCTATATATTATGCTGTGGAAAATTGACAATGGGTTTATAATGTCTTATTTGTAACTTTTGTGTTTATACTTATATATTTTCTAATAATTTCAGGATACTGGATCTATCCTGAATTATATGAATGGCGTTTTGGTAGTTGGGATTGAAGCAACACATCCGAATGTCATACACGTTCACAAACTTTGTGTTGATTGGTATGCCAGCACTATCTCACATGCCTTAGGTGTAATGACAAACCAGTTTACAACAAATTTGCCAGTTTGCATGGTTGATGATGTCATTAGTTTTTTTTAATTAATTAATTTATTTATTTTTAATGGAATTGCATTTTAGTGATTGAAACTTGTTCATGCGCTTGGCAAATTTTTTGTTGATGGTCTTTTTGTTCAGTTTAGCACAATGCTATAGTGCCATGGCTTATATGTTGGAAGTTGTGCGGGTTGTATAAGATATTGATGTGAAATTCAGGGCACCACAAGCATACTATGAAGGTGATAATGTTCATAATCTGAAGGCTGAAGTAGCAAGGGGTTCAAAGCTTAAGTGTAGTAAATGTGGGCTAAAAGGAGCAGCCCTGGGTTGTTATTTGAAATCTTGCCAGAAAAGCTATCATGTTCCTTGTGCCCTTGAAATAGAGGAGTGCCGTTGGGACATGGTAAATGCACTGCACTTGAGAATTTATAGAATTATCATAGTTTTCATCCTCAGTGTTCTTCAGATTTAAGCAGTAGCTTATTTCTCATTTTCCATTTACATTTTACAGGATAATTTCCTTCTTCTATGCCCCTCACATACGTCAGTAAGATTTCCAGATGAAAGGTCTAAGCCTAGGAAGATGCCCAGAAATCAAGCTTCTCCATTTCAAATGTAGAGTATTATTTTTTATATTTTGGTTGCTTTATAATTCTCAACTTGTTTTATTATTATTTTTTTATGACTTGGCATAGTAGACCATTCACCTTTTCAATGCATGGGGTGAAAATAGGAATATAAAGCCAAACAATAGACCTTTTCCCCGCATCTCACAAAAGGATTATGAAATGGGGTAATGTTATGGAAACATACTTGCCTCGTTTTGTGTTTCATAATGAAAAATTTTCTTGGAAGTGTTGCATTAAATAGTGATTTTCTCTTCCCGTTACCATGGATTTGACGTATTATGTTTTCTTCCAGAAACCAGCAAGATTCAAGCAGTTGGGTGTCTTCATCAGATGAGGTAAAGAAATGGAGATTTTGTGGATCAGCTTTGTCTGCTGAAGAAAGGGTAAGTTTGATTAGGTTGCACTCATGTTGATTGCTTACCTTATTGACATGCATTGTAAAAAAATTAATTTCCCTTTAGAGTTCTATGTTATCAGTTACCAATTACTAGTATAGATAAAAACATTTGCAAGAACGATGTATTATTAGGAGGAATGTATCTTCATTTAATCTCAATAGTAAAAGGAATCTTCTCTTTTTCAGAATATTCTGGTCAAGTTTGCAAAAATGACTGGTGCCACAGTGTCCAAATTTTGGAAGCCAGATGTGACTCATGTTATTGCGTCCACAGATGATAATGGTGCATGTACTCGGACTTATAAAGTTCTCATGGGCATACTGAATGGAATATGGATTCTGAAGATGGATTGTAAGTCACAATTCTAGTATCTTTTCAGTCGTGTTTCGTTATTGAGCAGCACTTGTATAAGATTTTTTTTATTATTATTAATTTTTTTCTTTCTGTATTCTGTTTTGTGACTTTGAGTAGGAATGTGATAGAAACACCCTATTCTTGATATTTAGAAGGCATTACAAGGGGCTAAGAGAGAACTAGAGAGCTCCTGGATCTCTTCCAAACAGTCAAAAAGATACTCCCTTACCTCACTACCTAGGGTGTATGTAATCCAAAACAAAATACCCACACTGCCCTTTTTACCCATGCAATTGTCCCTCCTATTTTAACGGTTTTTTCCTTTCCTATATCATGCTAGTATGTCCCTTCTTCCTAGACTTAGAGTATATGTTCTTCACCTGAGGCCTATCAGAATGTGCTGTTACATCCTTTACAAGGTTTTTGTTTCGATAAGTTCAGTTTTATTTGGATGAGAGTGAGGCTTATTACATGGAGGATTCATTTTTCTTGGTCTTAAGAATTCATTGCTATTATTCCAGCACATCGTGTTAATCCTTAGTTTTGACCATAAATTTCTGAACTTAGCAACTGATAGTCTTGTCAAAAGGTACTGTTATTGCCAAACTATTCTTAGTAAGTAATAATTCTTTTTTTTCAATTTTCTGACAACTTTAAATTTGGAGGGCTTAGGGGTAAAAGCTTGCATGAAAGAAAGGCGTCCTTTGAATGAGGAAGCATATGAAATTACTCTTGACAACTATGGGTGCATTGATGGTCCCAGATCTGGCAGGCTGAGGGTTCTAAACAAAGTGAGTTAACTTATTGGATGCAGGGAGAGTAATGATTTTGAAAATCCTTATTGCCACTGTTACATTAGTTGAGTACAGTTTTATCGGTTGCTAAATTAATTGAACATATTTTATATTTATAATAAATAAATTCCAGCTACTAGGAAACACGGTGTTATTTGACTTCGTTATTGAACTTTCTTTTTATTTATTTGGGGATGGAATAGAAGTTTCATTATGATTTCATTACGTGTCTAGATACAGTACGTTTATGCTTAGTGGTTAAATATTTTATTCTCATGATTTCAATTGCTGATGTAAGACATGATTATTTTTCATCTCTACAGGCACCCAAGCTCTTCACTGGCTTGAATTTCTATTTTACTGGTGATTTTCCACTGTCTTACAAGGAGGATCTAGAAGATTTGGTCATAGCTGCAGGTGGTACCGTATTAGAGGATGAAGAACTAGCAGCACCAAATTGTGACGACCAGGCTGTGCCAAAGGTGCTGGTTGTTTATAATCTGGATTCTCCTGGAGGATGCAAAGTGGGGGAGGAGGTTTCAATTCTCTGGCAAAGATTAAATGAGGCAGAGGGAATAGCTGCTAAAGTTGGAGCCCAAGTCATTGGTCATACATGGCTTGTGGAATCCATTGCAGCAGGGAACTTGCAACCTTTTGTGAGCTGCTAACCATGAATGATTATAATCTGTTTTGTGTGCTGATTCAAGGCATAGTGATGTATTTAAATAACTAATATAATCGTATACGTGTAGTAGGCCCATGTACAAACTGAAGCTAATCTGAACAGTTGTTGACCCTATGTTTCCTAGGCTCTGTGGTAGTTTCCCAACTTCAATGAGTATCACAAGAAAAATATGCTTTTCCTGCAAATAGAAACCTGGCAAGTCTTTGCTTGAGCAGTAGACTGTATGTGATTTATTTGTAATGCAAGTGAATAACAATCGTTTAGGTTTTCTTTGGTCGTATAGCAAAAAGTTACATTGATAATAAGCTTTGGTGAAGCTCATGGTGGCTCTTTCTTGTCATTTCCATGGAGCATACCATGATATGCTAAACTTGACCTATGCCTAGAATATTATCAGGTTGGTTGGGTTTTTGAGACCTGATAGGATGAAGCTTCTGTAGTCAGCAATGACATGGTTAGTTCCTGTTTGGATTCTGTAGCATCAGCGTTATAAACATAGAACTTTGCGGCTACCAGAAAGAAGAGAAAGTTGATGAAGCCCAGGATGGCCAACAATGCGTAATAGTAGTGTAGATGAGAGACATTTAGATTGTCCAAAACCCAATTGCTATGAGTTTTTTGGGTTATATCAGCTACGGTTTTCAGTAAAAAACTACTCAGGAAATGTCCAATTCCCAAGCTGCTGGTGAAATACGAGGTGCCAAGGCTTTTCATGCCTTCTGGCGCTTGGTCATAGAAAAACTCAAGCTTTGCAACTTCTGCAAAGGCATCTGCGATTCCTGTCAGAGCAAATTGAGGAAGGAGAACGAAAATCGTGAGTGGAACCTGGTCTTCTTTGCGAAAAATGTGATTTTCTTGGACGGTTTTCAGTCTCATTCTTTCAGCAATGCATGCTGCGACCATCACAGTAATCTGCAACACGAGTCCAATACCCATTCTTTGCAGCAATGTGATCCCTCTAGGGTTCCTGGTGTATTGCCGAGCAAATGAAACAAAGAAACGATCGTAGATGACGATGCTGATCAGCATAAAGATTGTCACAAAGGCTGAGAGACTTGCTGCAGGTATTTCAAAATGGGGGCCCATGCTCCTGTCAAGGGTGGTGCCTTGTTTGACAAATAACGTACCTACTTGTGACACAATTGCATTTGGTATGAATGTCACTACCAGAATGGGGATCATTTTAATCATTTGCTTCGTTTCTTCAACTTGAGTAACAGTGCACAGCGTCCAAGCTGGGCTCGTCCCACTCTGAACAGCTGCTTTGTCTAGGAATCTGCAGGTAATAGAGTTCTAATTATGATTTGAAAGGTTGATAGTAATTTGTGCAAGATGCGTGACATTACCTTAATGAATGAGTGTGATCAATCCTACATTTTTTTGAATTAGTATAATCTTCCAAACTAATCTCATGGAGCTCTTTTGGATCATTAGGAATTGGCAGTTTCCGATTCCTGACAGCAGCAACAACCACCTTAGCTATCCTGTTGAAAGGGCTTCCTGAAGGCAGTTTGTGTCTGTAGAATGGAGTGCCTATCAAAAAGACCAGCACAGAAATTGAAAGGCCGATGGTTGGAATCCCATAGCCAAGGCTCCAACCTACATTGTCTTGAATGTAGACCAAAAAGGTGGTGGAGAAGAGGGTGCCAAAGAAAATGCTAAACATCCACCAGTTGAAAAAAGAGAGCTTTTGAGTTCTTTCCTTTGGCTCGAAATCATCAAATTGGTCTGCACCCATTGTGGAGATGTTGGGTTTTGTGCCACCAGTTCCAAGTGCGATTATGTACAATGCACAGTAGAAAATGCCAACTTGGAGAGGCGAGGCTTGTTTGTCACAGCGAGCTTCATTTCCCTCATTGTCGCATGATGGTGGTTTCAGGGCTGGCAGCGAAACCGCCAAGGTCAGGAGGACCATTCCCTGTATCACACAAGTTAACAAGTAAGTCTAGTCTAAGTGCCGAAGAACACCAATTTATACCATGAATCTATAATTCATTTATAGAAGGAATCTTACACTGAGATAAATTGCAGAAGCAGTGACAAAGGTCCAGTAGCGGCCTAGATAAGCGTCGGCAATGTAGGCACCAATAATGGGTGTTATCCACACGGTGCCAATCCAGTTGGTGACGTTATTGGATGCTGTCACAATGCCTTGCTGAAGTTTGTCGGTCAAATACACCACCAAGTTTGTTGCAATCCCATAATATGCCATCCTCTCAAACACCTCGTATGCTACATGGGAAAACAACATTAACCATTTCTCTCTCCACCCAACAACTTAAAGAACAAGACCTGAAATGAGTTTCTGAATAAGGTAGTTTCTAGATGTTAATGCTTTTCGTGAAGTTATTGTGATATGGAACTAAGGACTTGTATTGAAAACTGAACTCTTTGCTTGTGTTTAAAAGAAGAGGTTTCAGGTGTGCAGGGCTGCTAGAAAAATAGGAATCAAAATAGGAAAGTTTTGTTAAAGATTACCAACAATGAAGGAACAGGCTCTCCATCTCCCAGTATTTGATCTTAAAATAGGTCCACCTTTGAGACTCACAGTTCCATCTTGTGTGTAATCATCTCTTCCATCTGCGCAACCTCTCTCTTCCACTTGTGCCATTATAGTACACAGAGAGACACAGAAAAAAGGAACTTTCCACCGTCAATTCATGTGAGTTCTGTTAGCTTTTTATATAGTCTTCAAGACCCCCCGGGAAAAAATAAAAATAAATAATATCAACATCACAGACTTTATTAGGAAATTCCATAAAATTAGTAGTATGGAAGTTAAGGACTGTTTGGCTTAGGGTTTAATTAGCTTAAGTTCTGTGTAGCCTAGGATTGGAGAGTTTGAGTTTGTATTGTATGTATTTGAATTGTGCTATGTATGAATTTTAGAAATATTGGGTTTTTTAAACTCTAGATTCTACAAATTTAACGTAATGATTGACGATACCATAGGCTGACTTTATAGTTTAAGCAGTCCAGACATCCATGCACAGTAATATTTGCTTGAGAAATCCTTCTTCATTCATCTGTATAATTTTATATGCCCTCCTTGTAGTTCTTGATTGGGTGCTAATATTTGTATGTTTCTCTCTAATGTTTAGTTGCCTCTAAATTAACGATTGAATTTGTCTATGAGCCACTCTTTTTCAGTCACTTTCACATTTTTTATTCACTCATTATTTATTTATTTATTATTATTGTTATATTTTTATGTTTACAATTTTGAGGAAATAGTATTAATATGGCAAAACCGTTCCAGACAACAGATAACACAAGCTTTTCCTCGTTGGTATCTTGAAACTGGCAGATGATGCTGATGTGAGGTTGGAATTTTGTCTTCCATTACGTCTCACTCTCAGGTTTGGTTTTTTAGATTTACAAAATTGTATACATATCCATTTCCCTCTTGTTACTTCTGGAGGAAATTAAGGATCGCATTTAATTGAACTATAGAAAAATTTGTAAAAATCATTAGAACAAATTTGCAACTTTTGAATAGTTTCTGCATATGGTAGAGTTTTATAGAGTAAAAAGGAGTATAAGACAATTTTTTACTTCTTTTTTTTGTCAAATTTGTCTGTTGAGTTTTGTTGTCATGAGAAAGAAGTGGATTAACTGCCATTCGAAGTAAGCAATTACCTTTTATTTCAGGTGTACTCTTTCAACTAATCCTTAATCATTTATTCTCTATGTTTGAGACAGTTAGTTAGATTCTCCTCTTTGATTGTCCAACTGCATCTAATCACAAGGATTGAACCATGTTTAGTTAAACAACAAATTGCCTAAAATTAGGCAAAGAGATGAAAAGGGCATGCTCTACCAAGCCACAAATCCCAACTCCTTGGGCTCCCAAATAATTAAAAAAAAAGATGAGAATTTATCGTAGGTGTTTTGTCATTTAGCAGGTGTTTTGTCATTTAGTTTTGAAATATGGTCAAATGATATTTTTCACATTATTTGTTTATCATATTTGTTCACATGATTTGTTCTTCTATTTACTGTTTTTGTTTTTCTGTTTACTGTATTTGTTCTTCTGTTCACTCCATTTGTTAATTTATTCACCCTATTTATTCAATTGTATTTGCTCATTGTATTAGTTCCAGGGTCTTAGCATTTCTATTACTAATTACATTTTGTTTATTAATGTTCATTATATATTCTTTAAGATTTTCTAGTATCATTTTCAATAGTGATTTTATCGTTTAAATTTGGTCTTTTTAGTATCAATAATGATTTTCTTGTTTAAATTTTGTTTTCGTTTTAATTTAATGAATATTTTCTCCTTAGATTTGTTAGTATATTTTCTTGGGAAAATATTTGAAGTGGAAAATATAGGTAGGATTCTCTATAAAAGAAAAAATAATATTTTATTTTAAAACTATTTTTAAAAAAGGTAATTTCGCATCTAAAAAATTGAGTAGAAATCTTTCTAATTTTAGTTGACCTTAGCATATTTTGAAATTACCTGGCTATATTCGTTATTACCCAAAAAAAGAAAAAAAAAGATTGATATGGACAGTGCTTCTAAACCAAGACGAAAATCATCGAGACAAGATTAACTTTGTGAATTTAGAAAGAGGGAACGGAGAAGACAGCTGATGTAATGTGGTGTGAGGAGGGGCCCAATTTAGATGGGCAAAGTAGACTTTTTGAAAATATAAGGTAGTTTTTTAAACAAAAATTAGACAAAAGGGGTATCTTTCATAGCAAAATGGGGTCCTTTTTTTTATTGTCTTTATTGAAATGCATCTCTTGAAATACGACCATGGCATTATTAAAATGCTTGCGTAAATGTATACTTGGATATCAATGGGAAAGATTTTTGATATAATTGGGTCTCTATCTACAATACTTTATCTATCCATAAAAGATGTTTGATTCAATCTTTGTCCAAGAGTGAGATCCTTATGTCTCATATCTCTTTTAACATTCTCAAGTAACCAAAATTATGGAAAACACTTAGAGAGATCAAAACATTATCTTAATAAAAAGTTTATAGGTCAATATGCAAGTCAAAATTAGACAGACAAAACAAACTTAGAGCTTGTTTGGTTAGCAATCCATATTATGTTTCTTATTTTCTAATTATTTTCAGATTCACTGAATTAGAGAATACATAGCATTTGAAGTTGTTTTTGAATTCTTTGATTTAAATAATGAAAATTCTGCTAACAATATTTGCATGTTTTCTTTATTTTTAAATTTTGAATTTAAAATTTTTTAACGTGAAAATACATTGAAAAAATATAAAAACTTTGATGTTGTAAATCCATTTTGTTTTTGTTAATATGAAAACATGTAAAATATAATATACTATGAATTATTAACATTGTAAAATAATAACTATATAAAATTTATAACAAAAATGTTAATAAATTAGTTAATACTATTTTTAGCTTAAACTAAATATTTAACTGATAACTATTCTTAAACTATTCTTAGTCTGCAAATATATTGCTTAATATCATTAATCAATTTCAATTTCAAATTGAGATTTAATTTTTAAATTTGTTTGAAGAATACAACGAATATTTTATTTTCTAACCAAACACACCCTACCCAAAACAATGCAAATGAAACTTCAAGAGTTTAGTTCAAAAGTGCATCAAACAAGGCTACTACGTAAAGTCTCTCACTTTCAATCAGTACATCAAACACTAAAATGAAAAGTCTAAGAGTTCAAATTCAAAAGAGATGTGATCTAAACTAGTGTGTACAGTATATAGATGTTACAAATACGCGTATATCCTCCATGAAATGACACTTCGAATTCGAGATCTCGAATATAAACACATCCTCTAAGTTATTGTGCAAAGCCAAATGTTATTTGGATGCTACAGCCTCAGATCTCCAATGCAGAAGTCTTCAACCACGTCGAAGACTCTGGTTCCGTGTTGTGGTCTGCACAAAAAATATAGAGGTTGAAATTAACATGTTCAAAAGATTGTTGATAGGTCTTAAATGACTTATCTCAATGTTTCATTCACAATATCAAAACCAAAACAGAGATCAATCGTTTTCTAGTGTGCTTAAAGAGGCCAAACACCCTCCCCTTATGAGGAAGGAGACTTCGCCCGCCCAAGTCCTTGTCGGAGAGACAACAATGCTAGAGTATCCAATCAAGATTATTTGGACAGAACAAATTATATATGATACAATACAGCTTATAGCATCCTAAAAATGTATGAGAGAGGACTTTACCCGTAAAACCCTTCGGTAGCATCGTCCCCAGCATGTGTTAGGATGGCATCTCCCCCCGGATGTTCATCTACATAGGAGGAAACATCGTACACCTATGCTCGAAGAAAATTGAAAATAGATTATAAATTGCAAGAATATACAAGCAAATCCCAACTTTTGTTAAGAGCCTGGAGATCAAACTAGAAAGAGAGAAGATTAAACCTTGTTCTTGATAATAATCCAACAATCTGTTCTCTTGTTATGAACCGAGACCTCAGCTTTACTGTAGACTTTTGATGGCTAAAAGCAAGAAATAACATTTAGGATATAATATACAATGAAAAGAATATTCCTGCCAATATGAAAGATTAACACTGAATCTTTGATTTAATGAAAAATAAGGCCTATCACAAAACTGGACAGCATTAACAGATCAGCTAAACCAAGAATCTCAGTAATCCATAACATAGTTGATAATTTTGTAGGTGCTTGTGCTTCACGCATTTAAGTATTAAATGTGGGAGTATGATTCTATTTGTATGATGAATGAGGACATAAATTAAAGTAGTTTCAACAAATCTCTTATAATTGGGGAAGTGATGAAAGCAGTGCTGAAAAATATCTCGTGCATGGCTATTTTTGATAGTCCTAACCAATATCAGCACAGCACTTGAAACCACAAACATCATCACTCCAAGTAACAAGAAATTCGACAATAAAAGAAAACCATCATTGAAAATTGAAAACACTTAGACTAGCAAATCAACCAATCCAGACTACGACTTTTTTCCCACTCATCTGCCTTTGAGAGAAGGTCGAATAGTACTTTTGAAGACTCAGATCCTATTGTCAATAGGATCCAATAGCAAAGGAATACATTCTCCATAGTTAGAGCCTGGAAAAAGAAACTTGCACAAGCCATGATAATTTCTTATACCATAGAAGCTGAATTACATTGAAGTCTCACCTTCTCGGCAGCTAAAGGGAAGCTCGTTTATAAAATTGAAACTAAAGACAACTAGTCTTCAAATCTTCAGTACAAAGAGAAAAAAATTATGTATCCAAAGTACCTTATTTGCTTTTAATTGGACCTTTTGTACATTTCCTGCATCCAGAATATAACACAACCGTTAGCTCAAATCCATTCGATTGTATGGAATTGGATTCATAAGAGGACTAATGAAACAAAAGAAATACATTCACCAAACTTACTGTCACGTGGGACTAAAACTAGAGCTCCCAAACAAACACCAAGAATCAATGCTGCAACAATTATCATCATTATGTAGCTCACTGCTATATCAGATTCACAGTAAATAAAAAAAGCATCATGCTCAAACGAACCATTACCATATTGAAATTCATAAGTGTTGTGCAAAAAACACCTATAAACCCAATGCTTCTTTCTCCAAACACAAATTAACCAAACATCAAAATAAATCCATTAAACAATATCAACCAATCAAAATAAATCCACCACGTAATATCAACCAAAGAACTAAAACAAGTAAAGAGGAGTCACTCAATGTTTTCAAGTACAAGGCGCAAGATGCACTTCAAGGCAACAAGTCCATTGATCGCCTTAAGGCGAGAGGTGATACAAAAGCGAGGCCTGAGTGAACCGAGACACTCCTTGATAAATAAATAAAAACTATATATATAGAGCATAAATTTATATAGTAAACATAGTTTAAAAGCATCAAAACTATAAAAGATCAATACTGAAATAGTGAATACATCAAAATGTTAAAAAGAAACATAAATTAACCAAATTCTATTAGTTCCCAACAAACAGCATTAAGAAATAAGAACAAAAGTAAATGAAAAACGTCAAAGATCATCCTCCTCCTCTAAATCTAAAGCCTCATCTCCATCTTGGACATTCTCCTCAGTCCTCACAATCTTCCATTTTCAATTCTTTTTCGTTAGTGTCTTCATCGCTAACCACTTGTATACATAAATGAAAAGAAGAAACAAATATATGATGAAGAAAATAAAACCTTGAGGAAACTCAAAACCCACTAGCGATAGAGGAAGATGCCAACGGTGGTGGTGGCGAATGAAGAAGGCGGTGGCGGTTGCAGTAATGAAGGACGAAGGCTTCTGGGTGCAGGTCTTTTGATTTTTGGCAGTGGGTATTAGACTATTCAATTTTTAGGGTTGCTATTCGTGGGTTTTACAATACTAGTACTCACCAGGTGCGTTGCACATTATTTTTATTTAAAAATAATAATTCATTATGATGGAATGTTAAAAGTATATGTAACAACTGCAATTTAACCTTTATAAAAGGTTGTACATTTTTCTTTCCTAAAAAGAGTTATATATTAATAATTTGTAGGTGTGTTTACATAAAATATCTTTTGTGATAATAAATTTATTTTTTAATTTCATTTATTTCGTAGTGCATATCTGTTTTTTATGTTATATTTTCAACATACTTGTTTGGGGGTAAACATACCCAAGACACGTGGAGGACCCTCATTAGTGTTTTGGGGAATTGAATAAAATGGATTGCCTAGGTCCACCTCGACCCTACCGAGGAGACCAGATTCGCCCGTTTTAAAAGGCTAAGTATGGGCACCAAGGTTCGACCTGATTGGGGTCCGACCTGCTCGGAACCCGACAGGTCTGATATGAGAAAAGACATATAACCGCCGGTCGTGTGTACTGTCGGATCCATCACCTATAAATAGAGGGCTTCATTTCACGCTCAGGTATCAAATCTCACCTCGAACTAAATACGGAGTCCGATCTATACTGACTTGAGCGTCGGAGTGCTTACCCCCTTGTGCAGGTCCACTCTAGTGTTCAGGTCGGAACCGGAGACCGGGTTCGAGCTCGATTCGTGCAGAACCGTTGTGCAAATTCCTGCATAAACATTTGGCGCCGTATGTGGGGAAGATTTAAGTCATCCCGATCTAAGAAACATACGCAAAGATGGTGCAACCAGCAAACTCTGCTAATACGACAGAACAGCGGGGTGTGAACGCTGATAATGGCACTCAGTGAGACCTCGACGTAAGAATAGCCGAGGACCAGGTCCGAGCAGGGCAAGAGGGAGATCTGCCGCGCAGATCTGCCCGCCATGCGAACCAAGA